TAAGTTTCGAACGTGCATCAAAAATTTACTATTTTTAAAAGTAAGATAACGATTTCGACGAATTTTCTCTTACGTACGACATACATCGCAAGCTAAAAAATAATGTAATTAGTTCATCAAAAAAAGCGTGAAATTAAATCTAAAAAAAAAAAAAAAAAAAAAACAAACAAACTAAAGGTTCGCAAGTTTGCGCGCGATCTCTCTTTGCGAAAAAACTTTCCTTTCTTTTCAATCTTTTAATTGCTTACTCTCGTCAAAAGTTTCACAGCGGATACTTTTTAAACCACGCGTCTTGTTTCAAGATTCTTTCGAGGGAATCGAGTCGATCTTTGAACGGTCGGGATTATTTCCTTTTCTCTCAAGAACGCTTTGCCCAGCAATCTTACTTCTCACAAAATAGTTCACAACAAAACTATTCAAATCAATGTTTGTTTATGAAAACGTGAATATACAAATGTGATGATATAGACGTGGAAATGCAAAAGCAGAAATCCTAACGATGTTGAAGCTTCGCATGTTGAACCGCATTCTGTGAATGGAATTTCTCGCGTTTCCACAAAGCCTACGCGGATTAAGATCGATGTAAGACGTACCAACCGCCGTAATCTAACTTAAGTAATCAAGCGAGAAATTCGAGATCGAGTTAAGGCAAATGTATTCCGTATACTTCTGCTTACAGGATTTTACGGAAAAAAATCTTATTAAAGTAAGTTGTTGAACGTGACGACGGTGTGTGAACACAAATATTTTTTTCTTACACTTCAAAAAAATTTCGCACGTAAGTCGTTTTTTGTCGCGGTAAGTTTTGTAAAAAAAAAAACAAAAAAACAAAAAAAACTAAAAATGTACAATTTCATGTTTTAAATTATCGACGCGACTTACACACGCGAAACTAGACGAATGTAAAAAACTCGTTCAAATTGAAGTTTCGCGTTCGACTAAAATACGTTTGATTGAAAAATGTGTTCTCGTTGTTTGCATTTTCGAGACTTAATCACTTTTCAATTTGTAATGTTAAATCTTTCAGCGAAAGAGAGAGAGAGAGAGGGGGGGAGAGAGAAAGAAAAGTTATTTTCGCGTTTTATCACAGAAAATATCGCCGCGCCCGTTGATTTACACTTCTTGCGCAAAACCCGGCGTTTTCTAATTTCATTGTTCGTCATCTGAAAATGGAATTCTTCTTTCTTCGGCGCTATTCAAAGCGCGGATTACCAGAAATGTAGCGGAGCGGGCTGCTGGGGAAGAGGAGGAGAGAAAACCCGCAAGAGCCATTACAGAACCTGTACACACACAGTGCGAGATATGAAATTCTCGCAGTAATGCACATTTAATTGCACGTACAGTACTTGTTGAATCGATGCGCGCATACATCCTGCGAAAACCAATATATTCGATTGATATCGCGAACGTGAAATTCCGCTTTATATTGGAAGAATCGCTAACCGTCTCCATAGGGAACTGAAGCGACGCGAGTAGAAAAAAGTAGATTAAAAAAAAAAAAAAAAAAAGAAAAAAGAAAAAAATCCTCTACTTTGCAAGACAAATGAGACTTTCACAAAAAATTACTTTGGACAGAAATTAATTCATTTCGCTTTTTCTGTTTTCTTCAGTCGCGAACAAGCGCGTGTGATTTCCGCGTGTAGCAGAAAGTTAACGCGAAAACAAGATGAAACATCGCGAATGAAATCCACCGCGTATCGTTCAATTAGAGAAAATACATTTCGCTCTTCACGTTGTATATGTAACGTCCGAAAAGATTCGAAGAAAACGTTCGAGAAAAAAGGAGGATCGGCAATGCGAAACGACAATGAAGAAAATTTGCCGAGAAAATTCGAGAGACCACCTGCTCGCGAGACAACCGGGATGAAAACCAAGGACAACGATATATTCACGTTGTATCATCATAGAAGTACGATTGTTGAACGATGCGCTTTACGACGTTCCGCGCGCGAGTACAAAACGCGAGCGTGTACTTATTGACACAGCCGCCGCCGCCGCCGCCACCACCACTCCATTGCATCTTCTCCCGCATATACCGCGTCATATATATGTTTATGGCTCACTTCTCCGAGCGCAACCAGCAACCCCTCAGAGATACAATACACACACACACACACGGAACCGCCACGTTGCCGTGGGCTTATACCTCGAAATGCTCCGCAGTTCTCGAGGTGTGCATTGGACCTAAAGGGCGTAGCCGCGCGAAACCTGCGCGACAGTCCGTTCCCCGAATTTACGCGAATAGTGGAGCGGGGCAACGGGACACTTTTGACCTCGGTTATTCCGCGCGCGGTTCTCGGGAATCACCAGGACTTTCTGCTTCTCTCTCTCTCTCTCTTTCTCTTCCCATCCCCGGTACCTTTGAAGTGTCGTGCGGTTCTCGGTGTAACCGCTCACTTATGAAATATAAGCTCGCTCCGGCGTAGGTTAACTCATTTACACGCGGGAAAGGACTTTAACGTCCACCCGTCCCGAAATGGGATATTACCGGGGAGGTCCGCGCCCAAGCGCACCAGCTGCGCTTCTCTCCCTTTCTTTTCCGGAACAATAGTTCGGCGATCTTTTGTATCTCGTATTCGTTCTAATTAGTGGCGTTCGCCGAATGGTGTTCTCTGAAATAATTCCGAGAGGGAAAGAGAGAGAGAGA